AGGAAGCCCCATCCAGAGGGAAATCCACAGAGCAGATGCATGTTAAGATGCATCTCAGGTAGCTTGACAAAAAACTTTCTGGAACATGCGATGGTAGAACAGATGTTCAGTGCCATGTTTTTGTATTAAAAACAGGCACGATTCAAATGATTAAGCTGCAATTTTTAAAACTGCTGTTTCTGTGGAGAGAGCGATATAAGAGAGCAAGCAGAATACAAAGTCACACACAGGCACAGAACAAATACATTCATAGGAGAAGGGAAAAGGCAGCAGAAAGAATTTAATTCTGTCTTCATTTCAGAAATAAGTGTCCTCTATACTAGCCTAACATTATCCAAGTCATCTCAATGTCAAATGCACGAAAAAACCTTCTCTAGTAAATTAAATAATACACTGTTAACTGTTCTCCCTGAATCTCCTAACATCATCCAGTTTAATACTACTCCAGTTAAAAAAAATAAAGCTTTTATAGTGAAAATTTTTACTCCACATAAAATATCTTTATTAGCATGAGTCTTTCCACTACTTTATATACAGTGCTTCCGAAAACATCCTCTCTGTGTGATTTTGCAGGATCAAACCTTTATTTTGGTATCTTTTCCTGGTTAAGGAAAAGAAAAGGCAATATCAGCCTACACTGAAATTAAATTAAGGAAATCACCACATTGTACTAATGTTAGAAAAAAATGTAAGTTACAGAAGCAATTTTAAACTAATTTTAACGTTGCTTGGGGTTTTATTTTTATAGCTATCAACATTCAAAAGATAAACTGGTGGATTAAAAATGAATGGGTGGGACTAAAGCTTAAAAGTGTAATGCTATCTTCATTCTGAATAATGAAGTCTCATATCAGTATAAAAACTACTTTTATCACAGGAACAAAGTTCTTTTAAACTCTTGTGGCTTATGTCCATTACTGCTTAAATTAATTAGCAATGCTATTTTCTGACAAATTTTATTTTAAACTTTCAACAACAACAAAAAAAGCCCAGTGAGAAGTATTAGCAGGTGGTTGGAAAAGAGGATTATAAATCCATTATATTAACTCAGTTTTGGCATATACACATTTTGGTAGCTATAGCGTTAAACACCAGTGATTATATCCATGGCTACAGCAGATACACTGTCACCTGAGGAGGAATTCAAAATGATAGAAAATATTCATTTAACTTACAGGTTTGTAAAAGTACAAATGGATTCCAGAATTTGGCTTCCACATTAGTGATATGAATGGAGAGCATTTTAAATTGTTTAAAACGATAAAACATCTGGTAACACAATTTTTAACTTGTTTAAGACAGCAATGTGGTCTAATGAAACACCTCTATAATAAAAATTATGTTAGCATGAGATAATGCAGATACCACAACTGAAATTATTATTATCTAAGTTTTGCAATGTATTTATCAATGATGAGAAAGTTTTAAACACGTACTTCTGAAAATGTTAAAAATGGCAATAATAATTACAGTTCTACCATGTCAATGCTTGTACTAAAACAGCCACTTTCTATGCGTTGAACCGAAACAGAAAGGAAAAACAACTGAGCTTCAACACTACAAAGCTGTAAGGATCCCTCACCTTAGAGCAGGCTTTTTCAGTTTGCATGCATTGAGAAGATTCACAGACCTGCTTAATCCAGATCGAGAGGTGCGTAAATAAAGCAGAATAAAAAGTGAATGCAACAATAAAATGTGGAAACAAGACAAAACAAACTTACATTAAAAGACATAATCGCATGCTTTCAAGATATGAAGTCACGTGCAAGAGTAAACAACACAGTGCTTATTGACTCAGTTAGATGTTTGATCATTTCAAACCATACATTTAAGAACACCAATGTATCTTTGAATGACAAAATCTCAGCAATGCTCCAATATACTGACCATTTCTAAAGCGACTCAAAAAAAAAATATCAAAGAGGCTGAAGAAACAAGACAGATGATCCAGCTAGAAGACAAAGACTATTAAAAAAGCAACATTAAAGACAAGAAAATAAATCCTCATATATACATACATATACCACTGCATAGCATGAATGTTTCAGATGGTTGCATTACTGAATTGTGGTGAACAAATCTGGCCAAAATTAAAAAATATATATATATATATATATTTAATCACCAAAACTTGGGTGGGGTGGGGGAAAATAAAAGCTTTTCAATAAAATAAATTAAAAAATAGTGCATAATGCTCTTAGACAGTAACTGATGATATTAATAATATTTTGAAACTTGTCTAGCACTCTTTCTGACCCTAATTTAAATCAATTAGAATAAATTCAAGAATAACATATGACTTTAATTTCATTATGCCTTTGAGCAAAATGGACTAATAACTTTAATTGTTAGAGATATAGTGAAGTGGCATAATAGTTTTGCCACTCGAAGTTCAAGGGAGAGGGATTTTTCTTTTTTAATTTATATTCGGTTTATTTTAAAACATTTTCTTTGAGAGCCAACTGTTAAATAGAAGACTTAATTGAAGGTTCGATACAGAGTTTGTGTGTGTGCCAGTTACAAACTATCACTGCCCCCAGAACAGAACACAGAACATTAATTCCAGGCGACTGAACAATTTCCTAGGGGCCATGTGTTTAGACTTTAGAAGAACAGGAATTCATCATATTAAAGTATTTCATTCTCCCTACAAACAAAGCTCTTTATGTTTTCTTTGTTCCAGCTTCTTCCTTTTGATCTCCATTGTCAGAGTTTTGCACCATTGTAATACTTTACAATCTGCTGGGGGAGAAAGAATAACTGATTGTCTCCTTTTGAAAGGCAAAGTATGTGCTAGCCGGCAGCCTGCAGCAGCATCCCTGCTGGGAAAGGTACCGTCTGCATTCTCCTCCCTTACATTTTTTTTTTCCCTTTTCCCCCCCTCAACTCTTGGAAACAAAGCTATCCTAGATGAGTCACAAAACCCTAGATTTTAATAGGGAACACAAAACATTACTACTGTGTGCTGGCCAAATTCCAAAGACAAATTTAGTGTTAAGCAGAGAACTTCAAGCCCCATTACATCTGAAAGGAAGTGTGCAGGGGGAAGGGAAAGTTCTGCTCACGATACACTAAACTCAATCGGAATGAAAATTTCAAATAATTATTCTATGTACAAAGTTCAGAAGAAAAATATGGCAGCATTTAAAAACCTGGTACTTGAAATAGCTTCTACACCTCTACAGCATAAAAGTAGTAAATATATTAATTTTAAAATCGAACCTTCTGAGCAAAGGCTTTTTGCGAAGACATCTTTGAAGCACTTTTCAAAGGCAGGCAATTCCTGGTTATCTGTGTCAGGTGATTATCCAGCCCATCGCTGGATATCCAATCCAATCCCTTCAGCTCTACATTAGCCGGCGTGCACCTGGAAGCCGCCCAGCCGTGTTCACGTGGCACCCCATCACCTGAGCGCGGCAGTGCCTTTGGTGCTGGACCAGAATTTTTGGTCCCAGTATCACCAGCACCATCAGGCTTTCTGCATTGTATTACCACCATATACTTTTATAATCCAGCTGACCTATGTTTTGTATTTGTGCTTTTGCTCTATTCAGGTTATTTCATTCCTTCCTTAACTAGGATAACTGGGTGCCGACTATATGAGATCTGAACGCTGAAGGGGGGTTTGGTGCCCTCAATTCTAATTGAAGTCAGAGTCAGTTGAGGTTACTCAACTCTCTGCAAGATCTGGATCTAATTATCACATTAGGCCCTATAACAACCTACTGATATCCAGAGATACACATTTTACATATGGAAAACCAATATGCATAAAGGTTAAATGATTTGCATAAGGTCATTGAGAGAATATGTGGCAGAACTCAAATAAAAGCCTGCTAGTTCCACCCTTTCAGCCTCGAGCCTTTTTTATTACCTCCAATTTTATATTCCTGCCAGAAGAAGTCATTTCCATTTCAAATATTAAATGGGAAATCAGAAAATGTAGTGAACTCTGAACCACATCTCCTTGGTAATCCAGCAAGGCAGATAAGCCGTGTACCAACCTGTGGGTTCAAATGAGTTAACCAACATATTTAAATACAGCTATTGTATGAAATGAGATGTATTTCTAAGCAGTGGAATGTATGGATGCACACTTGGTCCCCACGGAGATTATTTGCATGTATTTATATAAATATGCAAGACATACTGTTTCAAGGGACAGACTGATGTAATTTCAACTGGGTATCATACAATTCCTAACCTAAATTGTGAAAGTAGCAGAGAATGGAGGAACGAGAAGTTAGTTATTTTTTATCCACCTTTTCATAACTGTGTTGAGTGAAACACTTGGGAGGGACTTGATTAACCTGGATGTTTGCCTCTTTTGAAGACAAGGTCATAGGCCAGAAAAAAAATTGAAGATTATATTTTTCTAGTATAGTAATCCTAGCAGATATTTGTAATTCACAACAGCAGACCAGAGGTTTAAAAGACGACTCAGAAAAACTACAGTTTTTTCTTTCCCTTTTTTTTTTTACTTTCACTTTTCAAATTTTACTTTTTCACATTTTGAAAAAATTCAGATTTTTCAGCTCTGCACCTATACTGTATAAGAAAAGTATTAAAAGTATCCAAGCTGAAATTAACACTTAATTCTATTTAGAGCTGCTATGCCAAATTACCATATTTTGGGCTAAAGAATTCCTACACGAAGTAGGAGCAGTTTTAGAATCAGCTTATATGAAAAGAGCACTATAAAACCATGACAAAAATCATAACTAAAAAAATTATTAAAAATTACACACCATCTGTAAACTGTTCAACACCGAGTGAAGCTTCTTAACACAAATAAACAAGTCCTACCTCTTAAAAAAAGAAAACTATTTGATCTTGCCGCTGTATTTCCATTACTGTTTTATGCATAAACATATACAGTTCCTGAATGTAAATGGATCCATTATAATATAAAGTATGAATGAATGAATTTATATTAATGAGTTCATAATGAATTCAGCTACTTGACTATTTGCAAGTAAGCTACTTGGAACACTTAATACATCATCCTTAAATATTAAGTATTTGGAGCATGATTTACTAGAAAAACATGAAATCTTAGCAGTTATTTTAAGGTTCATTATCAAAAGCTACTAAAAGTAGAGACTAATTTACCAAAAAAAGTTTTGTACAGTAATTCGTTGGTGAGGTCCTTACCCTTCCACACTCTTCATGTTGAAGTATATATATAGGCAAGGCATAGAAATATACGTTAATATAATTTCATAAAAAATAAAATTTGCATATTAAATACCATCAATACAGAATTTTAGAGCATTTGAAGGGAACAGGAATTCCACAACACTGGACTTAAAACCACTTTTTTCAGGACATGGAATAACCCTGCTCTCCTAAGCATTCGTAATAAGTGTCCATCTATTTCAGCAGAACTGCCCATGTGTATTTTTTCTTTTCCAAACTGAATATACATTTTCATACCGCATATTTAAAGCGCCTTCAGTCTAGCCTCTTTAGCAAAGAGAAGGGATAAAGCATAATAAAATGACATTAAATCCTTATCCTGTGGAAGACTTTCTCATACAGGAATCAAGACAGTCCAAAATGCTCCCTAAGGATGCTCCCTAAGGACCTTCCCACTAGCACTCAGAGTATCCAGATTGCAGATGGGTCAGGTGGAAGGGCTGCAGAGTGTCACTTATCTACAGGGATCCGGAGCTAGGATAATGCCTACAGGCTGCAGGCTGATGGACCTGAATTACGCACAGGACTCTCAGAATCGAGAAAGCACAAGTATGATCTTGACCTGCATTTCCTCCACCCTGCTCGGGGGCAGAAAGTCCTACGCTGAACCTTAGAGATGGAGTGTAGAGACTCAGGAATCGCACCCTCCCCACAAGTGAAGCGTGCCAATGCTTGTGCTCTCTCATGTGTTTTATAATTACTACTTGAAACTTTATTAGTGAGAATGAAATTACAAGAATTATTAAGAAAAAATAATTTGTAAAGAACAAAATTTCTTTAAAAATTCAGCATACAAAATAGTACTCCTTTTTAAACGCTAATAAATTTTATTTTTTAAAAGGCATGTTCTTCCACCCATTTTCAAAATTTTGATAACATAATTCTGATAATGGAACAGTTTATACATATTTGCCTTCCTTCTCTTACCTTAAGGGCTGATTCAGGCCAACCTGCCAAAACCTACAGCTAGAGCGAGCCCCAGTTCATAGGAGCTCACAGGAGTTCATTTGTGTGACACAAACAAATATGGTATTTTCCAATTTTAATTGGACACAGCATAGCTTCTCTCTTCTCTACAATAACAAAACCTGGAGTTTCCTGGAAAATCAGTCCCCTTCACACAGTAACAAAGAGAAGCATATCCTTAGTCACCATCTGCCCTTTAAGGAAAAATTCTCCTTACAAAAGAGACCTCAGATCTTAGCAGGTTAACGCTCTCATCTCCACAACTTGCCCTCTTCAGAGTTCACAGCATCATCACTACAAAAACTGAGGATGACACACACCAAAAGAAATGTATAAAAAAAAAAAAAAACACCCCACACGACTATCTTTTACAGGCAAACCGTACAGCAGATTAGCACCACAATCACTGTCACATGTAACTTGAACTTGCTGCACCCGATCCATTGCATTCCTTATAACCTAGATGTATAAAACGTGTAGCCCACTGAAAAAAACACTACACACACACAAAGCAAATTGAGACAGAACAGTAATTTTTGAAAGGACTTAAATACATGCTAACAGTAAGATATCTAAAGATGGATGTTTTCATTTGCATAATGTGCTAGGCATAGAATTTTCCTCCTCCCTGAGATGATTCTAACATTGCACATGCAGTTTCTATAATAATTTTTAGTGAGAGAAAACCACCAAAGGTAACACTGATTTGTAATGATAGCACAGTTTCTCTGCAGACTATATATTTTCTACTAGCTACTAAAGAATCCTTGCACTACTTTTCATGTTACGCAACAGCACAGTAGAAATGCTTTATTCTCTATATGCTACACTGTACGAGCAAGAAAATAACACAAACTAGTAGACCAAGCATTGCGCATTCTTTCAATATTCATGGTAATAACCTTAATTCTAATTAGACCAAATAAGTCTAAAGCCTCTTAGAATGAAATCCATCTCTCCTTTTCTTTCTGAGCTATTTAGACCATTGCTTTGCAAGTAAGAAAAACTATGTATCTAGAAGCTTAAAAGATGAGATACTGTTTTCTCAATTTAATGATTATGTTTCTGATAGATGCGTACCTTTTTGCTGCTGGTGATACAGTTTCCTTTCTGGTTCCTGATGGAGAAGGTAAAGAGCCACTTGGTTTCTTTGGTAACACAGTTCCATTATTAACAGTAGTCCTTAAAGGCAGGGTTTGTACCAGCGGTCTTGCTGTAAAAGAAGCAGAAGATGAAATAATTGTTTTCATTTTCTTTTTTTTTTCCCCCCAGCAAACAATATTAGAATATTTTAAAATATTTGTGTAGTAGGCCATTTTTGTTTCACTATTGCCAAACTCACCATAGATGAGGGTTTTAACAAGGAGGAATTATTTTATTATTATTACTTATAATCATATCAAGCAAGTCATCTGCATATGGCTTTAGCACACAACTCTATAACCTGTCTCATCAGTAAAACTCTGTTCTAGCTCAAGGAGCTTACTGGTAAGTGCAAAGGTAGCTGTTGCCACCGAAAACAATCCTGCTCTCCTTGCCCACTTGGACAGCTTTCAGAACAGTGCTAGAAATGAAGTCAGGCTGCCACCCCAGAAACTCCTGCTCTTTATCCCTCAATGTTCTTGTAGGTTTTCCACAAGCAAATGACCTATTAAGAAATCCTTATTCCCCGAAAAAATCCCTTCTTTTAAAGAATGTAAGCTTATGTTTGACAAAAAGTAATTTTACCCTTTAGTCAGAAAAAGCAATTGAAATCAGCAAAACAGTGGACTTAATGAGCTGACATTATCCACCTTTGTTCTTCTGATCAAATGTTGGCTCAAAAAAAATTATATACATGTCATACCTGTAATCAATATTAGAATAATAGAAAAGTCCCAATCAAGTACATTAGAAATTAGTTGCAAAAACAAACAGTGGTTAAAACTGCAAGCAATGAGCACAAACATGAAAACTACAGCCGACCATACCCTGAAAACACAGACACAAACACAACTAGTGCTCTCCCTACAGCAGGGAAGAAAGCTGTACACTCAAGTACATCACTTGACAAAACTTCATATCACAAGCCAGCTTTGTAAAGATGCCAAAAGTCTCTGAACCAAAAGTGGGTTCAGAGAAACAACTCCCGAGAGAAGGCAACACTCACAATTCAATTAAGGGACACAAGATAAAATTTCACTGAACTTGGAGAGCATTGCATAGAGAATACCTATGAAATGTTCTTCAAAAAAAGACTGCTGAGGACAAATAATCTAAAAAGCAAAAATTAAAAAAACCTAAAAATTAACAATTGTATACAGTCCTAGGTTATATCATGATAACATCTTATTGTAGCACTGACGGCAAGCATTTATTGACTTGTTCACCTGAAGTTTTCATATATTTAACAACAGAAGATAAACATGAAAGCCTGTGCCCTGAGATTAGCTTAGTAAATATGGTCTACTCAGGAATGCAAGCTTCAAGAGAAACTGTGTCTTGAAACCTTGTTAAAACATATACTTGCTTGTCATGTATTCATCATTTATTTGTTCAGAGGGCAGAAATTTAGAAAAGAAACCATAAGGAAATATTGAAGGAATAAAGCTTATTGGGCTTAGAAGACTGAAGGATGACATGAAAACAAGTCAACAAAGAAAAAAAAAAAGAAAATCTTATCCATGCTCACTGAGGATCAGAGAGCCTTCAACTGCAGAAGACTGATAGGGTGAGACAGTATCACTCTTCCCAAGGACAGGAAGAGCAAGGGTATCTGATTTTACAGGAAGCTTTAAGGCAAGGCTAAAGAAGACTTAAATGAATTCATAGTGCCTTCCAGCCCTGACTTCCATGATCTATTTTAACAGACTAGTGCTGTCTTTAGAGCTTATACAAAACACCTAAAACTTACTGTACTTTGGCTTCTCATTCTTCTCTTTATTTATTACTTCTTTTCATTAAGGGATTCAGATATCATGATCCTATTTACTTCTACAGTATTCATTCTTCCAAATTAAATTCCTTCTACGGTTTCACGCTGGATGCTTTACTGCTTGTTTCCTGACTAAGTGCTGCAATGCCGTAATTAATCTGTATGTATAAAACTGATTCTGCTGCATATTACAGAAGCACAGATAGCTACACTAGAGCAGCTGTAGGCTTGTTTTCTGATAAGATTTCTGTAGCTCACAAAAGTTTAATGAGTCTTTGAGATCATGAATTAGAACAACAAATACAGTGAAATAAACATATTAATAAACTATTTTCCTTCATTATAGTTATATAAAAAATGCCTATTAAAAAGTAGCTGGAGTGAACTAGCTGGAGTCTGTTTACTCTCCTAACCTTATGAAATCGAAACTAGCAGCAGCCAGGAATAAACCCTGCAACCTTTAACAGAGGTTTTGCTTCAAATCCAATGCCAATCCAGAACACACACTTCTGGAGCTGGAAATTTAAAGATCCAGCCCCATGATCAGCTAGCGTAGAAAGCAACATCACGAAACTCTTACATGGCACACAGAAAAATTATACACTATTCAATTAATCCACTATTTACTCTAGAGCAATTTAGTTTTATTTACAACAGCTATTTCACACCAGTGGTAACTGACATAACAGTCAAACAACCCCAAACATGTCATTGCTGTTAGAAGTCAGTAACTCAAACACATTGGTATTATTGCTTTGTCAGTAAGGTTTATTTTGGAAGTTCTGTTGCTTCAGGGTCTTACCTGTGGTAGCAGGACTGACATGTTTATCAGCCTCAGCAGCTTTTTTAATCATACTCTGATCTATGGATTAATAGGGCTGTTAAGTTTACAAACAAACCGATAATGGCAAAAGGAAAGAAAAACAAACACAAGTAAAAAAAAGGCAGGAAGCCATACTGAACTCCACCAAGTAGTTGAATTAAATAAGGAAGGGGGAAAAAAAAGCCCCAAACAAAAACCCAAAACACCATTAGTGAAGGAGCTCCACAAATGGACAAGATAAGCAGCTCATATTCCATGATGTACACTGCTTTTAAGCTGCCTAGCTCAAGTCTAGAACAAGAACACACACAAAGACTGAAAACAAGCTCAAGCTCTTCTCCGTTATAGGTTTGAAAGCCTGAAGCTTGAAATCTTTAAACCAATTTTAAATCTGATGTACTAAGAAAGTGTCGTCTTCTGCCCCATGAAGCTTCTTGTTCCAGACTTTAAACAGCACACTGGGGATCCTGTTTTCCAAAGGCACAAACCTCCCCCCGAGGTTTTACACAGATGCTTTTAATCCTGATCTATTTCATCTATAGATCAAATGAAAGAAGCAGCATACAATATGCTTCAAAATCCAGTTTGCCTGGATGAGATTTCCGTGACACTTTGTGAGCTCAAATGCCACTTTTTACAATTCTAGATGTGGAATTTGTCATTAAACCATCAATAGAAAGAAAATGGAGAAGTCCCACGCAGCCCAAGTGGCAAAACCCAAGAAGCCACCGCTCCAGTTTCACCCATGTCTAAGCAAACCCCTCCCCTAACAGTCTCCATCACGAGCCTCCGTAATGCTATTCCGATACTGAAATTCATCTTAGTCTTATGCTAAGTAATTGCATGCAATCCATTATAAAGTAGTTGTGCCTACTACAGGGAAAACAGGCCTGTAGTATGAAATGTATCGTATTTGACAAAACTGCTGGAAGAAACTAACGATCAGGAAACTTCAGATGCTGTTTTATGTTACAGAGTACATTTAATAAGGCTGACCATACACTAATGATACAACTGATATATAGCAAAATTAAAAGTTCTTTATATAAATTATTACAGTAGCAATTATTTCCAGAAATTAGTTGTATTTAGTTGGCAATTATCAGGACTCTCTTCAGTAATTTGTAATGGATGAGCAATTGCCTTTGTAGTCCTCCATTTGCATTATCATAGTAAAACCTCTTACGCTGTCATTTCACACACACATTAAGAAGTATTCATGTCATATACACATTTTAAAAACAAACAAACAAACAAAAAACCCACCCCAAAAAAAACCCCAACAAACAGCCATAGAAGGCAGAAGGATAGGCTTACAGCAGCTTTTCTTCAATGTACATTGAACTATGGCTTTAACGATCTGCCACGACCAAGAAAGCATCTCCTGATTTAGAGTTCAACTCTGCTCACAGAATCCATGAAAATCTGGTCTGCATTTTGCTAAGTAAAGCCAGCAGGCAAGAAGAACTAATTTGGTTACAACTCAGTAGTAATTACTAGGCCTTATTTTCTCCACACATCAGATAATCCGGAGAACTACAGGCCGGTCAGCCTG